CTGCACGGCAGTTTGCATCTACCTCTTGGGAGCGAAGTCAACGTAATCACCTGATGGGTTTTTCTAACACTGCACAGAAACCAGCGTGAGTGTTCACTCCCCCCACCCCCCACGGGGCGACGGAAGCAGGGGCTCCCCTGCCCACCGCGACACCCTGTGACACCACTGCACTCGGTCAAGCAGAAATGAAATCCCACGTGTGGCAGTTGCTCTTTTAAAAAATATATATATCAGTGCAGTCAGGCCCCATAGGGGGAAATATATATATCTCTATGATTAAAAGTTGCTTTTATTGTAAAATGTGTTGGAGAGAAAAACGTTCTTTTAAATGCTTAGCGTCCCATCTGCCGCCTGATGCCTCTCTAAGATGCCCTGCAGCTGGGTTCCTGATTCTGCACGAGAGAACCCCAAGAGGACACTACTCTGGACCCCCATTCCCATGCTGGGAGCAAGAGAGGGAGACAGAGGGAGGCAGAGAAAAAGAGACCCTCACTCGCTGCGGCGGCGCCCCTGCACCTCCGCATGCATGCACCCTGCAGGTCCCTTCCCACGGGACCGTCCCTTGAAACCAGCGGGATCAGTGCCCACGGGCGGCTCTGTGCTAGCAGAGGCAGGCATGGCCAGTCCCATGCACGCCCACCAGGACACCCGGGGTCTGGGCTGCCCTGCCGTGGCCTCCACCCGCCTGCCCCGACACACACGCGTGGGAAAAGCATATGCACCCGTCTCCTGTGACACACCTGCTGTAACTCTAATGACAAGGTTAGAACAGAAACCTAAAAGAAGAGGGTAACATGTAAATACTGTGTTATTCAGCCTACAGTACAGTAATCTGGATACGAATGAGAAAGGAGGCCGCGGCCCCTCGCCCCGTGGCCTCTACTTGCCCACGTTAGACCGGCCTTCAATGCAGATCTTAACCTCCTGAGGAATTAGAGAAGGCTTAGGAAGAGTCAAAGGGGGCTCGTCTTCCGACTTCTCCAGTTTGCGGGTCTCCGGTGCCGACCACCTCCTCTTCCTCGTGGCCGTGGGCTTGCTGGGTTCTATTTTGGTGAGGAAGGGCGCTGTAGGCAATCCGATCTTTTCTGGAAACTTCAGTTCGCCGTTCTCAGAGAGCATCTGGGCGCCTCCCTGATGAACCCCATTCTCCTGCTCGGCGTACCGGTGTCTGCTGCCTGTCAGGCCGTCGGTCTTGGCGTGCTTTAGCAGGACGCTGGCGGGGTCCCCCGGCTGGCCCTTTTTAACAGAGCCGTTCTTCAGGTTCTTGAGGGTCAGCGAGATGCAGACGTCGCCCACGGAGAGTTTGGAACACGGCAAATCGAAGAGCTGGCTGGTCCTGTCGGGACAGCAGGACGACCAGCCCTGCCCGAACACGAAGAAAGGGTATTCCACCAAAACCTCCACGCTGACCTGTGGGGACAGCGGGGACAGAAGGCAGAGGACATCAAAGAACGCCCTGTATCCAGGTCTGATCGGACACGCTCGCGCACAGGCGCTCACGCCGAATGCGAAAAACACGACTCGGTTTCCCCGCCTCCTCCTCCCTCAGCAGCACTCCAAATCCGCCCTTGAGTCTAGGGTACTTCCTGGCATGTAAAAGGTGCTCAGTAAAAGCCCCAACAACGAGGTCTGGGTTTGCTTTTCCTACAGAAAGGTCCTGCAATGACACACCTGGCCAACAGGGGTCGATGTTGAGATGATGGAGAGGCCTCGCTGTCTGGTCTGTCTGGTTTCTTTTTCTTTTTCTTTTCACCAGCCGGGACTACAGGGCTGTGTGTGTTCTCGAGGGAGTGAGAGGGTGGTGCCTGCCCCAGCTCTGGCTCCCCCTGCACAGGCAGCTCTCTGCAACGAGTCACCGCTGCCCTGCCCCACGTTCCCCTGAGAGCTGCGGAGCGGGCCAGGATTCCATGGAGTCAAACGTCCTTCTCACCGCACTTGCTCTTGCTGCTGTTCATGCTCATTCATTCATTCATTCATTCATTCATTCCTCAGACTCACTGGGCTCCCAACCTGTTCCAGGATGGTCTCTGATTAAAAACCCCGATGAAAATAAACCCCTGGAGCAGAACCACATTACGTAACTCCTGCAGCTCAACACAGCTCATATTCCCAGCCTGTAAATACACCCCTTCCCGGAACGGGATGCAGTCTGTAAGAAGTGTGAGCGCAGTGAGCCTGTCCTTTGGGAGCTCGAGGGCCTCTGTCTTCCACAGCTAGGTTGCCCGGAAGTCGGTGCCCAGGGGCAGCTCCCCCCCCCCCACCCCGCCTCCTCCACGCTTTCCCACTTTCCTCCTGCTATGGCAAGCACCCCCAGTTGCTAACTGAGCTGTCAGGAGGAATTTGCCTACAGCCCCCCTAAACCTACTCCTCTCTCCAGCCCCCTCTCTCCAGCCCCCTAAACCTACTCCTCTAAAACCATCCCCTCCAGCTTCCACTCCAGGGGGAGAACCAAGAGAGGGAGGCATTTCCTTGCTGAACTGATAAAGTGATAATCCTTTACACTCCTCACTTTCCTGTCCTGCTAATGACCAGCTCTTAGGACCACCTTCAGTTCTCGGTGTGAAGGCGCCATGAAACTGCTTTCACTACGCAGTCAGTAACTCCTGGACCCAGACACTCCATGCTTCCAGGCGTCCTTCTGCCGGGTGATTGTGTATTTCGATCTGAGATTGGTGTGATGCCTCTATACACACATTTGTACGTCTCACCACAAACAAGATAGAAGGGAAACAAAACAGCTGCTGTTTAAATATATCTCCTTATTTTTCTTTCACAAGATCCCCTGTTTTCACAAATGTGAAGGGCATCTGTTTAACGAAACAGTTTTTTGTGTGAAACTATCCCAAATTCACAAATTGTACTTGTACCTGGAAGCAATGAAACCTCCCTGCAGCTGGGCTGCAGTGTCTACGTCACATTCTTGGTGCAATGATTAAATTGGGGATTTTTAACTTTGTCTGCAAGTATGCCTCCATCCTGTTTCACCTGTACAGAAAAAGCCAATCTGCCCTCCCCAAAGGGCAGTTTAGAGGGTTTTCCATTCTCCACATGCAGAAAATCAGAAAACCCTGTAGTCATGATTATGGGGATAAGCAAGATATCCATTCACCTCAGTGTTTAAAAATCATTAACGAGAACAGCCAGAGATCTTCGGTTGCGAGAATGGTCTATTTCAGACACTTAATCATATCCCTGCTAAGTCTGGCTCAGTGCTCCATGGAAGTATTTCAGAGCCGTTCAGTAAACCCTCCCTCAGCATGGTGACACCTACAGATGCAAATCCAGATGACCAGCTAAGCTCTCACACATGGCAGGGCTTGTGGATCCCCTTGCAGGAAGGCCCTGTTAGGAAGCTCTGAACTGGCCCAGAAGGACAAATGACCACACCAGCATAGACAGCAAGAGACATGACACAGAGACTCAGTTCCACATGCATCCTCCTTCAGGTCTTAAAATGCACACCTTAGAGAAAAATGGTATAATAGTTTGTGCTACAAATAAATAAGCCAGGGCGAGCATGTGGTGTGGAAGTTAAAGTGACTGGATCCCAGCTGGCTCTGTGGTTCGAGTCCCAGACCCAGCAGCTTGAAAATCATGCCAGGTGCATGTGTGTGCACCCAAAATCCCAAGAGAAGAATGGAGGAGAAGGGATTGTGACTTGGCCATCCCTTCTGTGGGGCGATTTCTCTTTTTTCCTCTCTCTCTCTCTGCCTTTGTCTCTCTCTGGCAAATGTACAAGCCCAACACCAAAAGCTATAAGCAAAACAAAACAAAACAACAACAACAACAACAAAGGAACAAAGAGAGAGAGAAAGAAAGAGAGAGAGAGAGAGAGAGAGAGAGAGAAAGAAAGAAAGAAAGAAAGCCAGCCAGCCAGAAAAAGACACAGGGGAACCTGAGATGTGTACTGCTATGGGGAGGAAGCTGATTTAGAAAAGCTATGCACTGTGATTCCAACCGTGTGGCACTCCAGAAAAGGCAAACGAATAGAGACCACCTGGTGGCTGGGACCAGCAGGTGGTGTGGTAGTTAAGGCACTGGACATTCCCGCATGATCGACCATGGTTCGAGTCCTGGACCTGATGGCTTGCTTTCTCACTTTCCCTCTGTCTCTTTCTCTCTGTGTCTCTCTCTGGTCAAATTACAATGAATGAATGAATAAATATAATTAAATAAATAATTCTTTTTTAAAAAGTTTTAAAAGAAAGATGGTGGCTGACAGGGATTTGAGGTGGGGTAGGGGCATGAACATGTGCCGTATAAAGGGTTTTGAGGGTGGAATAACTATTTTGTATGGTGTGGCAATGCTGAATTCTGACATCACACCTTTATCAAAACCCGTAGAATGTACAACACAAAGAGGAAACTCTGTGGGCCAGGTGGGGGCACAGTGATAATCCACCTGGACCCATGTGGGAAAGGTTCCGGGTTTGTGCCCTGAAGTTTCCTTGAGCACACTGGGTACGCAAGCGCACGCTCCATGACCCAGACTGCCTTAAGACCCTGCGGGGTCCCTGTCTCTGTCTTTCTTTCCACCTTGCTCTGTCTCATGAGAGGAAACAAATTAAAAACAAAATAATATTGGAGCCAGAAGGTGGCGTGATGGTTAAGGCGGCTGGATTCCTACATGGCTGACTGTGGTCTGAGTCCCAAACCCGGTGGCTTGAAAATCACACTGGGTGCATGTGCGTGTGTGCCCAAGATCCCGAGCAGAGTATAGAGGAGAAGGGACTGTGGTGTGGACATCCCCCATGGGGGCAGGGGTGATTTCACATTTCCTTTTCTCTGTCTCTCTCCTCTCTGGCAGGTCTATGTGCCCTATGACAAAAATCTATAAAATTTAAAAAAGAATAATAATATTGGAAGAAGGCAAATCCTCATGTAAACCGCAGACTTCAGTTGATAATGTATCTGGGGCCAGACAGTGACACAGCAGTCAAGTCGACACTGTGAAGCAATCCTAGGTGGGAGGGCTCTCGCCTGACATCGGAGAGGGCTGCAGAGCTCAGGTGCATCCATGATCTGGAACTGGCCCAAGGCTCAGGTGGATTGTGGGGTCGAGACCCCGTAGGAGGTACTGCCTCTTTCTGCCACTGCCTCTGTCTCCCTCCAGCACTCATGAAGAAATAAACTTAAAAAAAAATAACATCCCAATATTGGTTTATCAATTGTTCCAAGTACGTTACGCTAATAAGAGATTTCAGTAATGGGGAGAGTGGATGTGCATGGAAAATCTCCTTCCAACTCCAGTATTTAGAAACCTAAAATTGCTTTGGATAAAAAGTGCCTTCATGTTAATAAAAAGCTGTAGTTAACAATGGTCTGAGGGGATCTGTTTCACTGATACAGACAAGGTGGCCCATCTGGGGGCACTTGTGTCACATAAAGGTTAAAGAAAAGCAGGCTTTGGTCCCTTTCCTGCATGGCTCCACAGAGGCACAGATAAAAACGTGGTGAGATGCAGTGGCTCTGCTGGAGCCCTTCTGGAATCAGAGCTGGTAGGCGTTGAGGACAAAAGGCCGACTGCCTTTTCCTACTTCCAAAATCCTTTCCAGAGGGTCTGCAAACATTACCAGACCATTTGGGCCCATTAATAACAGGACTCTTCCTCCATCCTGCCCCGGCCATAGTGACTCTGGGATGTATAGTACACCTTCTTATTTGTGTGAAGATAAATCTCAATCCCAAAACACAGATCTTCTTTTCCAATCACCAACCAAAAAATATGTAAACCCACCTATAACCTACAC